TTCGAAGTGTGCGGTGCTTGTTGTCAGCCCCTCATGGGAGGTAAAGATCTTTTCCCATGCGTTCGGGGAGATGATAACTTGAAGATCGGTCTGCCAGTCATACATGAACTTCCAAGTGGCATTGACGTCGGGATTAGCAAGGTAGGTGTAGCAGATAGAGACTGTTTTCTTCGGGGGGATTAGCGATAGGCATTGTGCTTCAAATTTCGTGATGGAAGTTTGCAGTGAGTGTTTCATATTTTTGATCTTGTTGTCAGTTATTAGCGCTTTGATTTGTAAGTATGCGAATGAGTAGTGACATGGTAGGGTAAATTCTTTTAATAGGTCTGGGAATGATTTGAGACTTTCCTTGGTATATAGCTGATATATATGTGTGATTCCTGCTTTCTCCCATTTTTGATGCGGGAACGTGCCATTGCACTGGTGCAAGGTTCTAACCGGAGTTGCCAAGGCCCACGGGTGTGCTGAGCACAGTTGGTCTCTGTAGGTGTCCCATATTTTAAGGAGGTGCTTAGAGGTGTTCATCATGGTTGCAGGTTTTTGTCTTAGGTGTTGGGTTGTCCAGAGCATTGTTGACAGATCCTGATTTCCGCAGTAGTTGCTCTCTATTGCTACCCACTGGGGGGTGTAGGTGGTCGAGTGGGCGCTAATCACATTTGTGAGGATGGCGCAGTGGTAATACGATTTGATGTTGGGGAAGCCCATGCCTCCAGATTTTGCATAATTTTTCTCAGTAGTAACGTTTTGGGGACTCGAGGGTGTTTGCCGCCCCAGTTAAAACGGAGGAGGGTTGCTTGTAGTTTTGTTGTGTAGCTTTGCGGGATTTTGATTTGTAGTGTACGGAAGAGATAGAGAATTTTAGGGAGAATTGGCATTTTCAGTGCTGCCATTCTTCCTACCCAGGACAGGAACAGGCTCTTCCATGCTTGTAGTTGGGTGTCTATGTCTTTCAACAATTTTGTGTAATTAGCAGGGGATAGCTCATTTTCTTTGTGGGTTATTTTGACGCCTAAGTACACCAGGTAGTCCTCTCTCCAATCGAAGCTATGGCTTGCCTTCAGTTGTACTTCTATGGGTTTCGGTATGTTGAGGCACATTGCTTGTGTTTTGGTGATGTTGAGTTTGTAGTATGACTGTTGGCTGTATGCATGTATTTCTCTGTGTAATGAGGGGAGTGTTATGAGTGGTTGCGTGAGTGTAAGGAGGATGTCATCGGCAAATAAGCTAAGTTTGTATCCTTTGTGGCCGACTGGTACTCTGTGGATGGTATAATTGTTCCGGATTGCTATTGCCAGGGGTTCCAAGGCTAACACGTAGAGGATGGGGGACAGTGGGCACCCTTGGCGGGTTCCGTTCATGATGGGAAAGGCCTGTGAGCTAAACCCTGAGGTTAGTACTGTTGCCATGGGATCGCTGTACAGAGCCTTAACCACGGAGAGGAAAGGGTCTGGGAAGCCGTAGGCCCGTAGGGTTTCCTAAAGGAAGTGCCAGTTCAGGCGGTAGAACGCCTTTTCGGCATCTAGGGATAGCATAACACTCGGTTGCTTGGTGTTATTTAGTATTTTGTATAAGTCTAGCACTTTCCTGGTGTTGTCTGGCCCTTGTCTGTCTGCCACAAATCCCACTTGGTCTGTGTGAATTAGTGTTGGTAATATGATTTTGGGTCGTTCTGCATAGATTTTGGCATAGAGTTTTGCGTCTGCATTTAGAAGAGAAATCGGTCTGAAGTTTTGGCATGTAGTTGGGGGTTTCCCTGGTTTGGGGATAGTGATGACACTATAAGAACTCAGCGGGGGAGGTTCCTAGACGAGTGGCTTCATTAAAGAAGCGTGTGAGGCCCGGAGTCAGTTCGTTCTTGAAAATAGTGTAGTATGCGTTGGTGTAGCCGTCTGGGCCCGGCGCTTTCCCCTTCGGCATTTTGTCTATCTGGTTGAGCACTTCCTTTGTGGTGATCGGTGCAGATAGGCTTTCAGTATTTTGTTCTAGGAGTTTGGGGAGTGTAAGCTTTGCTAGGTAGTTGCGTATGGATGTGGGGTTGGGTTGGACCTGGGTTCTTTGGTCTCTTAGGTTGTACAAGGTGGTATAGTATTGTGCAAATTTGTTGCATATTTGTGTGGGTTGCATTACTTTTTTCCCGGTGTGTGTGTTTATGAATGGAATGCGTGCCTGTGCCTGATTCATCCGGAGCCGTTGTGTCAATACTTTCGTGGCTTTGTTCCCCATGGAGTAGGAGGTTGCTTTGAGTTTTTTTAGAGCGATGCTGGCTTTCCTCAGGTGGATTGCTTTGACGTCTTCTTGCGATGTCCGTAATTGTTGCTGGAGATCCTTGGAGGGGTTTGCTTGGTTTTCTCTATGGAGGTCTTGGATCCGTTTTAGAAGATTTAGCAAAGCTGTGTGTGTGGATTTCTTGAGATAGGATGCTCTGCTAATCAGGAGCCCTCGTATGACCGGTTTATGCGCAAGCCATAATGTAGCGGGGTTGGTCTCTTCATTGCCATTGATTTGAAAGTATTGTTGTATTTCTCCACGGATCTTGTCTGTGAATTCAAAGTCATTGAATAGGTGTTTGTTTAGTCTCCAGCTCAGATCAGCTAGGGTGAGAGTCACTGGGTTGTTGTCTGAGATTGTAGAGGTGCCTATCTCGCAAGTATTGATCTGTTGTAGATGTGTGCTGAGCATTAGATAGCCGTCTATGCGGGAATACGTGTTGTGCACCTGCGGTGTATTCCCTATCTTCAGGGTGGAGGGTTCTCCAGACGTCGTAAAGCCCATATGAGGCCAGTGTTTTGTTCAGAGAGGTGCATTGTTTGTGTAGGGCCTTTTTCCTCTTATGTGTGTGTAGGGCTGTGGAATTCACATTTGGGTCAAGGACGTGATTAAAATCCCCGCAGAGAACCAGAGTGCCTATGCGTACTTGCTGAATTTTGTCTAATAGTGTGGACATATAGCTGGGTTGGTTCTTGTTTGGGACTATTGTTATGAGTTGACTATTGTAAATGTTGTTTAGTGTACAGATGAGAATAATGTATCTTCCTTGCGAGTCTAGTTGGGCTGTTATTTGGTCTAAAGCCAGGGTTTGGCTCACCAATATCGAGACTCCTCTGCTTTTAGATGGTGATGTGACATGATATTGATGAGGAAAGTGTTTAAGCCCTAGGATGGGTGTAGAGCCGTGCTTGAAATGGGTTTCTTGCAGGCATTTAATGTCTGCTTGTGAGCTGCGAATCTCATTAAAAAGATATTGAATCTCTTGTGGGGTGTGTTTAAACCTCTAACGTTGTGCGTATACACTTTCATTATGGTTATCAGGGGGAGGTCGCCGGGGTTAGTGTAAGGTCGGTGAGTCTTTTTTTTTATTTTTATTTTTTGTATTTATTTTTTTTATTCGAGAAGTCTCTATGTGGACTGCTGGTAATTTTATCTGGTAAATGGTCCTCGTGTCTTAGGGGGTTCCGTGGTTATGATCGGGCTTTGGGGAGGAGCTCTATAGTCGTTTGAGTCTCGTTATGCCCTTCTCGTTTGGAGAATGAGGTCTAGTTTGGGCCTTGTCCCGGCACCAAGGGGTGGTACCAACAGGGTAATGTGTACAAATTGTAAAAACAGAGGGTAAACAGTTAAACAACAAACTTAAATATAGTACAGTGGTTACTTTCAAGAGTATGTGCCGAAATTGGCACTTCTTAAGCGGGGGTAGTGTGGTCGGGTCGGATCCAGCTGGCAGCGGTTTTGGGCTTACTGGATTTAGGCCATTTCCGTAGAATGCGTTATTTCAGTGGGTATATGATTGCGCTCAGACATTGGTATGTCTATGAGAGCTGCAGTGGAGGGGAGCTTTACAGTTAGGTGCTAGATCAATCTGTTTATAGTTTGTGGGTTGCTATAGTGGTTTATGGTTAGTTTGGGTAACTCGGGGCAGGCTGTGTTGGTGCATGCTCGTCGGGCCATGCGTTTGTTGCCGTGTTTACCACAGATTTGTAAGAGGTGGTGTAGTGCAACCTTTTGTTGGGTTGGGGGTAGTTGTTTTTGTTGTGTCCAAAGGGGAACCCTTTGCGTGCTTGTATCGCCCACGCCGGGCATTCTGTGGGATGGATTGTGCATCACATGGTTGTGCCTGGGTGTTTCTCTAGTGTGCCTTACTAACATATGGAGACTAAGCTTTTATACTAATTGTAGCATTGTCAATGAACATTCCATCCTGGTAGTACCTTACTGTAGAATTATATCTCCTATTAAACAGTACTGACTATCACGCCACGGTTTAACATATTGTGGCTCAATACATTAATGTGCTGGGACATGTGCGGCAGTTTCTTACAGGTGTAGCTGTCATGGGAGGAATTACTGTCGAAGTGCTACTATACATCACAAAACAAATTTTGTCTCGCTTGTGTTAATGTGGGGTAGCATGGTTGTAGAGTGGCAGCGGTCATTGATAGTATTATTTTAGTTTGGCAATCTCTAGGGGCTATCCCAGAGTTGAATGCAATGGGGAGCTTAAATGTGGCTGATCCTTTGGATCACGCATCTTGCCACTATTATGTTTTTATGACTACCTTTTGCGTGTCATTACCGCTTAAGTTAAAATAAAATAACATATAAACAGAATTTATCAATAAATCAATGCCAATCATATTTAAACACTTGATGTTTATGGAAAGGTCTTCTTTCGATGTTGCTCTCCGTTGTCTCTGTGGATGTCCGTCAGCGCCTGGTGTCTTGCTTGAGCTTGCTGATTGAAGATTTGGGGCTATGTCCCATTTGTGCAGGAGCTCTAGGCCTTCCCTCGGTGAGGCGGCTGTGATAAGTTTCCCTCCTTTAGTGATGAAATGTTTAGCTGGGTAGCCCCATCTGTAGGGGATGCGGTGGTGCCTTAGAACTTCTGCGACAGTCTTGAAGGATCTTCTACATCTAAGTGTCTCCGCCGATAGGCCCGTGAATAGGAGGATGTTTTGAATTTATCTTTTTTTTGCTCTATGTGCTCGGAGAAGTTGGTCTTTTACATGATAGTAGTGTAGCCTCTTGAGCACGTCTCGTGGTGTGGAGGGTGGTAAGTGTTGCGGCCTGGGGATTCTGTGAATGCAGTCTAGCAAAAGCATGTCAGTAGGTATGTCCGGTAAGACCGTCCGGAACAGCTCCATTGTGAAGGTCGTTAAGTCCTGTGCTCCCACCTCCTCCGGGACCCCTCGCAGTCTGATGTTATTGCGGCGGGATCTATCTTCTGCGTCTGTGATTTTAGCTTCGTGCAGGGACAACCTGTTTTCTATGTCGTCCAGGCGATCCTCGAAGGCTGCGTGGGCCATGCCTGCTTCATCTAGCTTTCATTCTATTTGGGAGGTTCGAGCATCCAGATCGGTGAGATCGTTTTTTATTTTAGCTAGGGCTGTTGCGAAAGTTACTTGCATTTTCGTGACCGCCACATCTAGCATCTTTTGCAGTAGGTTTGGAGTCAGCGGGGTGTCTGTCCTGGTTTCTGGTGCTCCGATAGGGTCTGCATCATGATCAGACTCGGCGCCAACTTGGGCCTGTGTATCAGCCTGCATGGATTGCGGTGTTCTGCCCGCGAAGAAAGCTGCTTTGTCTTTGGAGTCTGCTGCCTTTTTTGTACAGTGTTGGGACATCTTGGACCTTTGTTAGTTGTTCGGGAATATGCCAAAAAAAATTGTTTTAGCTGTGTTTAAGAGCCCTATGCCGCGGAGCTCTTTCAATGTGCTGCCATCTCCATGCGATGTCCAGCCACGCCCCCCATCCTTGAAGGTTTTGAGAGTTACCTTCCTATTCAGGTGTGCAGCCCCCTTGTGATCAGTTATTGTAGCGCTGTTCCACCTTTGCTTTTTATGAACTTGGAAATATGCATTTTTTTCAGTTTATATAACCATGTAATTATGTAACTAAGTAATTAATGTCGAAATGAGAAAGTACTAAAAATTGCTCTATAGTTAGTAATGCATGGAAAGGTTTGAGGTTTTGAGCGAGAGCAAGGACAACAGCTATCATGAACACAGATTCCTGGAGAATTGGAGTCATTACCATAATGTCCCACTATGCTTGCTTCTTCCTCACCTTAATTTGTAGGTGTCCTGGCATCCTTCCAGTGCAATCAAATTGATCCGGCTTATTTACAATATTCCTGCTCTCACTATTCCTTGACTTTGACTTGGTTTTGACTTACACGTTTTTCTGATAGTCACAACCTGCGCTAGTTTTCTCTTTTTGTTGCTCCTCTGGATAACCACGTTAGAGTAGTTCATGGACTTTAAGTGTTTGTTAATGTTTATGCAATTGTCCCCCAGCTACTTTGCTCTTTTTTCATTACTTTTTCCGTCCATCAATTTCCCCTTGGTATAGCTTCTGTTGCTGATGGAATTTGTGAACCAAATTTTATCATCAACAAAACTGGCAAGCTAATAAATATCATCCCATCCATGTATATTTTGGTTTTCCCTAAAAAACGACGAGAATAATAAAAATAATGTATTTTTCTTTTGCGAATAGTAAAAAGAAAAGACAATTATCTCTGGGGATCAAAAGGTCGCCTGTGGTTTGCTCTACAGCACATCTTGAGAGGTATAATACATGTGCCTAAAGATGGTCAACTACCTAGATCAAATGACCAGCCAAAGGTGAAGGGAAAAAGTAAAAGTAAGGTGTAGTTAGTAGGGTAAACATTTTGCAAATATATTTAAATTTAAATTGAGTATGGGAATTTGGCCTTAACTCTACAGAACAGAATGCAATTTGTGTGACTAGGGAAGCAGGCAGATTTCCTTTGAAAATAAAAATTCTAACATTAGGCTGTAAAATACAGCTAAAACATTATTTATATAGTTCTGTAAATCCCTCAGGACTGCAATATCCTTCTCAATGAATACTTGACTTTTAGTTATATGTATATATCTCCTGGAAGGAAATTACCTACTAGAGTAATATGCAGAAAATGGTGGTACGGCTCAGAATAATATGTTTGGAATGCTTCTGTTATTTTGTCAGGGATAGAGTGAATGATTTCTTACCTTGCCTGTGTAGTTGCAATGTTATGATGATACCTGTCTTTTCTATTCCCCTTCGGTAATCTCATTCCATGACTGTTTGACACTCCTGCACCAATTCTGACACCAAAAAACTGCCAATAAAGAATTTGGTACACCTGTTCTATCCAGTTGCCGATACCCTGTATCATTCTAGGATGCCGGTCTCAATGTTGTCAATTCTGCATCACTATTATGTTTTGACACAGGAACTTGACACCTACCTGCAGACCTATAACTTTAAACCCCATTTAACATTGATGTGACACCCTATTTTCTTGCCCGAGAGTGTATTAGTTTACACGTTTTATTGATTTTGACCTGTGGTCTTAATTTGACTATTCTATCTTCTGTACTCCTGACCTAGGCTCTGTTAGCCATTTTGTCTCTTTTTGAAATCATGACTGTTTTTTCGTTCTGATCTACCTGCTTACAGGTATTTCACCTTCTATATTAGCGATCTGTGTTAACCCCAGTCATACTAAGTACTGGTTGTAGCGGAGAGCTGGTCTTTCACAGGTTAACTCCACTAAAGATCCCAGTGAGGCTCAGGAACAAGTAATAAAATACCATAGAGTAATAATCACAGTAAGCAAGGTAAGCCACGAATATCCCAATACAGATCCCAATGACTGGACGACACACAGCATCAGGAGGAGAACTGAACTTTTAATCACTCAACCTTCTTTTAAAGCATTCTCCCATGCAAAGGAGGGATTTACAATAATGAGTACAGTATCCAATCTTATATGAGTAGCCACCCACACATCCCCTCCCCTTAGTGTGACACATAATCCCATGCAGGACAAAAATTCCCTGGGTTTCTGGATGTACCCCTAAACATAGGGGTACCCCTTTAAATATTACATCCCTTGGAAGCCCTGATCTGAGTGAGTGACATATCCAAAAATCACCCAGATTGGACCAGGGGTTCGGGAGATTTGTGGAAGTAGTAAAAAGACTGACCGCGCTGGAGGGAACAGCCGAAATTGGTTCCATGCATTTTGGCCCTGCGGTCGGTCACAGAAAATGGGAATAAACTGCACAAAAGACTCAGGCTATGGAGACTAGGGAGGATTCGCATAAATCCCCTTGTTCGGGTGTTTCTTTCTACCAAACGGGTGGCCGTTCAGTAGTTTCTATACGAATCTAAGGGCAGTGTGGAGGTCTCAGCGGTGTTTGCCTAGCTGAGTGTCCGATTTGGGTTCCAGACATTCGACGGCAAAACACCGCTGTTCGGGAGTTTAAAATGGCCGCCGCCACGTGTTCGACTCCCGAATGGCGGCCACCCAGAGGATAAAACATCCACTACATGAATTGCCAATTACCCGTTTGCAACATTGTTGCAAACGGTAATTGTAGGCACACTTACTCCTGGGGTGGTCTGATTGTTCGGTAGTTTCACTCGCATAATAACTGGAGTGATTTTACCAAACAATCAGTCGAATGCTGCATACATTTCACATATACATGGTACAATTTAACCGAACACATAGGAATATATATATCATTTTGAGGACAGCCCAATGCCATCCGCTACACTGGTAATATCATCTTCCCTGATATTCTTTCCTGATATTATCTTTCCCCAAGTTTGCATGCTGGATTAATACTAACCATGAAATGCTAATAAAAATGTCAAGTTTGTTTTCTCATATTCAAGATAATTTGCATATGTGGCGAAAGTGACCTCGCCACTGGTTTTTGGAGGGGCCTGTTTGCCAGCCTCCTGCCCTGCGACCTTGGCCCTGGTATGTATTGCCCTTTAAGGAACTGATTTGGGCATACTGTATTTTATTATGCTGCTGCTGACCCTTTAAGAACCATTTGGGGACATATTGTGGAGTTACTGGGTGGCCACCATTTCATGTATCAGAGGCACATGGTGAGAACAATAGATGAAGCACATGGTGAGAACAATGGATGGTGGCCATTTTAACTCACAGACACTGTTTTGACTTTTCTACACGGTGCCATCTTGCCGGTATTTGGTGCACAAAGACATCGTTCAGTAGTTTTAAACTACAGAACAGGGGACACATTTAACAGTAATTATTTTTCATATAGCCTGTATATGTTCTGCGGAATCTGCATTAAACCGTATCTTCCAAACAACTGAATGGATCTGGGTGAATTTTGGATATGTGGTTCACCCAGATCCCCCGATTCCGAGGATATATATTTTTATGGGGTTATTGCATGTTTTGGGTTCCCTGTGATATGTTTTATAATACTGTATTTTCCTGCCTGTGATAATTAAGTTAGTCTATTGTGTTGAGCTAATTGTATCACAGACAGAGGGGAGGATTTCTGATGTAATGAATGGGAGTGTTAGCTGTGTTGTAATGTGTTGATTGGTTGTTTTTCAAAACCCTGTGGGCAGTACTATGTTTGTAGAATGTGAATAAAAGAGGCTGTATGTGCCAGTACAGTCAGTTCTTCTTCACCCTCAATCTAGAGTCCTGTCTCTTATTGTGGGAATTGCTATATCACTACAAGAGATTGCTATGTTCTGCATACTCCCTTAGCTAATCACTACTAGTGATGTTGCGAACCGTTCGCGAACTTGCCGCGAACGGTTCGCCGCGGTTCGTGGCGAACTCCGGTCAGCTGACACATCCATGCCAATCTCCGGCAGACCCTCCCTCCCAGACCCTCCCACCTCCTGGACAGCATCCATGTTGAAGCTGCCTTCAACATGGATGCTGTCCAGGAAGTAGGAGGGTCTGGGAGGGAGGGTCTGCCGGAGATTGGTAGGGATGTGTCAGCTGACTGGAGTTCGCCGCGAACGGTTCGTGGCGAACCGCGGTGAACCGTTCGCGGCAAGTTCGCGAACGGTTCGCGACATCACTAATCACTACTAAGCTCTTTTAAGAGCTTGTTCCTGCTTCACTCTCTTGGAGGAGAGGTTCACCCACTGGAACCTGGAGCTTTGTCGTAGGTCCAGGATGGGTAGGAGACGGCGAGACCCCTACCAAGCTGTGGCAGTTCGTGAGGTCTGCGGTGGTTGTGGTGTCTGGCGGAGCGCTTGGAGCCCTCGGGAAGCACTAGGAGCATCCTTCAACGGAGGTACCCAGTCGGGGTGCCAGGTGATCCGTTACAGCATACATAGACAATTTATTCAAGGGTTA